AGGTTAGGGTTTGCTTTTGTTATTTTCCATGACCTCGATTCGTGACGCAACATTGATGTCAATTGCTGTCTACAATTTTTGGATTGCAGCTAGCTCTCAGCACAACATGACATACTCCATGTCAACATCGGATGTCCATATCATTGTTTCCCATCAGAGGGTATGCCTGGAGAGTGTCGTCACTTAACGTTCTCCCCGATGTATATCAAATCGGTCCCAATTTTCTTCGGCATATTTACTGAAAATTAGCTTCTTGGCAGCGTCTTTGCTCATTCTATCTGACCATATGATCATCAGTAAGGAGCGAACGTAACTATTGATGAATGTTTGCTATAGTCCGTAGGAAATTCTTCTGGTGACACTCCTCCAATGTCTCCGAACCATATAGGAGAACTGACTGCTTGACATGAGTGTTGGAAATCTGGATCTTGTTTCTTATGCTGAGATCAGTACATTTCCACACAGATTTCAGATGAATGACGGTTTGTCTTGCTTTTCCGATCCTGTTTCTGACATCTACATCCATAACACTCGTAGTTTAGATGATGCTGCTCAAATCGATTTCCCCCCATTTTTGGTGATTGGTGCTTGTTGATGTTGGTCGGGTGTCTTCACCACTTCTATCTTCTTCTTGTCCACCTGAAGTTCTATCCCCACTGCCTTCGTCTTCTGCCCACCTCTTGGTTTTCGCTCGTACATCTTCGAGTTTGTGTGATATCAAACGTGGATTGTCTGCAAAGTCCAGATGTTCTAGAGTCTTCCTGTTGGTCCAATGTAAACCTGTCTATCGCATGATCCAAACCATCACAACTAGCAGTATCATCGGTGATGGTAGGCGGCTTTGTCTCAACACTGTCTTCGCTTCGAAGACAGAAGTGTGTCTTCGTAACAACCAGACTTATCTTTTACAGCTTCATGAAAGCAAATTACAGTCCAATTGTAGTTGAACTGTCTTACTGTCCTACACACCCCACACATATTCGAAATTTCGGTCAGTATATATTTCGTGAGTTATTTTATGTAAGACGAAGAGTCTAATTCGGAAGAAGGTTAGTAAAGCTTAGAGGTATTTACATATCGCTCAATTTAGTTTGAAACATTCTGCCGCTTTGATAAATTTAAATAAGTTAGAGAATTAATGAAAACCAGCCACAGGGAGTACTGGACAGCTGTTTCGTCAGCCTAGTTTAGGAATCATCGTCATCATGCCCAAACTGGGGTTGGAAACCATGACCTTCCGGTTAGAAGGGAAGCTCGTATATCATTTATTCATTGAGACCCGAATCAATGGCCCACGAATTCTGGCTTTCATCTATTCGTGGTTTTCAATTGTCCTCTAACTGATATCAATCGGTGGTCAGACTCGAATCTTTACAAATCAACTTTTGGAAATTTAAATAAGACAAATAGCAAGATTAAGAGATAACATCAATTTGTAATTTTCCTACAACCCCTTTACAACCAGTGTAACAACAGAAGGCAAAACACAGAAGCCATGGTACATTTTCAAATGATCAAAGAGCTATTGGTATATCTAAGCAGTTTATCTTCTTTAACCAATCACTGAGTGCGTGATTTTGGTTTACATTAGACGACGTGGAATAGAATTTTCATATACACATATATAATATTCTGTTGCTAATGCAGTATTAAAACTATGAGAATATGCGACGATAATATTCCTTTGGACACATTTTTCCTATCACCCCACCACACCAGCAGAATTGACAACTAATAAGTTATGTGCAAGAAGAGGACATATTTTGATGTGGTTGCGTTCTCTGAGCTGGCTGGATAGTTAATTTGCGAAGCTTTCATCACCCTACTTACTAGGCAACACCTTCAGCGCATACTTCAATTTGAATTGAAGTCAGCTTTTAAATCTCTCCACGAGTTTATTAATCATTTCTCCTGGTGACCACCTTGAATGTCGTGACTGGTTGTTTTTGTGTGTTTTCACACACTCTAGGCAGCTACTTGTATTGTAACTCATTGTTTCTGTGACTTGAACTTTGTACCTTTGTGTGTGAGACTTCCTTCTTATCGGTTGATAAATTTTGTCAATCTCGATGTGTCTACTGATTGACGATTCACTAGAATGCCAAGCTTCTAAAAATTCTCTAGCATTCTTGTTGTTTCCTCTGTCTAATATTTGAACGCTGGTTGTCCCAGTCGAATTGATGTCCGTGGTTGTCTGTATGTAGTGATATGAGGAAGTGGATGTCATGTCTTTTGACGGCTAGCTTGGATGATCATGGATACGAAGACGAAGGGAACGTCCACTTCGGCCAATATAGTGTTTTTCGCAGTTGATACAATTAATTTTGTAGTTGATGTTGGTTTTATCTTCTTTCGCTGTTGAGTCTTTTGGTTGACATAGAATTGAGTGAAGTGACTTTGTTGGTTTGTGTAAGACGTCAATTCCTAAAGGTATGAAGAGTCTCTGGTATTCTTGGTGTTTCTTCTGTCTCACAGGAAGCAACAAAAATGCCAGAGAATTTTTATAGAAGCTTGGCATTCCAGTGAATCATCAATCAATAGACACATCGAGATAGACCAAATTTACCAATCTGTTAAGAAGGAAACCTAGCACATAAAAGGTCAAAGTTCAAGTCAAATAAACAATCAGTTCCAATACAAGTAACCTAGATGGTGTGAAAACACACAAAAACAACCAATCACTACGTTCAAGGTGGTCACCAGGAGAGATGATTAATATACTCGTGGAGAAATGTAAAAGCTCACTTCAATTCAAATTGAAGTATGCGCTGAAGATGTTGCCTAGTAGGGCGATGAAAGCTTCGTAAATTAACTATCCAACCAGTTCAGAGAACACAACCATATCAAAATCATCCACCTGAGCTACAAATCTTCTCTATCATATCTGAGAGGAAATATTCATGACCAACTAGTATTTGAATAGGTCAAGTATACCATGGTAGACAAAGGTTAAATTCTACTATTTTCTGGACACACTTAGTTTAGGATGCATGTGATTAATTCCCGAGTGTTTCCATTACCTTTTGATAACCTTGAATTAAAGTTAGGTCGCATAAAATAAAATGAGAAACAGTCACCAATATTATTGATTTTGTGTCTAGACGTGAATAAATGCTCTGCAATAAATGATGATGGATTTCTGTTCAGATTAAGTGGTTGGGGATTTTCTTTGTTGGAAACATTTATTTCCTGATACGAATTTAAAATAAGCAATAAAGGTTAATAAAGCAGGATTTGATGAATTCATCAAATTTCAATAGAACCCTTCCTCAGCTGAATACTCTACATACAGGGATACATATATACTTTTGAAATTACATTGGGAGATATAAGACTGATAAGCAAACAAACTACAATGAATTAATCATGCAGAAAAACAGGTGTGAATGTTTTCAAGGTCATGTTCAAACAGATAAGGGGAGAGGGAGTATGAGAGATTAAAACTAAGATAAAATGCATTACGATTCAATTACATCACTTAGATAAACAATTAGTCATTAGAGTATTTAACAAGAATTGCAACCAGAGGGATGTCAATAGTAATAGTTATAATAACAATAATAATAATAATAAGAGGTAGAATAATAAGTAAAACGTATTACCATGGTAGATTCAGAGTCACGACCATCTCCTTTTGTACACAGAGACCTGGTTTATAAACTCGAATTGCACAAGCCTCTGCAATTGCAAGCACCTTCTTGTTTGTTTGTCTGCTAACAATAGTGAATGACTTGACCGCGTCGATATCATGTCCGTAATCCACAAGATGCTTTGTTACTGAGGATTTTGGCACTTTTCTCTCAGCTGTTTTCACCCATTTTGGCAAATGCTCCATCATGCGAGTAGACAATCGCCTTTGCGTACGACCTATGTATTTGCTTCCATAAACACACTACCTCTTATTATTATTATTATTATTATTATTTTATTGTTATTATTATTCTCATTATTATTATTATTATTCTTGATTCATTTAAAAGTATCCTTTATCAGTAGCTTTATCTTAACTCACTTCAACACTATTATTATTGCTATTATTATTATCACTATTACTATTGACATCCCTCTGGTTGTAATTCTTGTTAAATTCTCTAATGTCTCATTGTTTATCTAAGTGATGTAATTGAAGCGTAATGCAATTTATCTTAATTTTGATCTCCCATACTCTCTCTCCCCTTATCTAATTGAACATGACCTGGAAAAACATTCTCACCTGTCTTTCTGCATGACTAATTCAATGTAGTTTATTTACTTATCAGTCCTATATCTCCCAATGTAATTTCAAAACTATATATATCCGTGTGTGTAAAGTATTCAGTCCTATATCTCCCAATGTAACTTCAAAAGTATATATCCGTGTATGTAGAGTATTCAGCTGACGAGTAGTTCTACCGAAATTTGATGAATTCATTAAATCCTGCTTTATTAACCTTTATTGCTTGTTTTAGATTTTCTTTGTGTTGCGACTTGTTCATGGGTTAGCCAGTGAATCGTCTCCCAGTGGCTGAATAGCCTATCAGCTTGCCTTGTAACCTGAAGATCCTGGGTTTGAATCCTGGTGGACGTGCACTGACGATGAGTTCCAAAAACTAGGATGAAACAGTTATCCAGTACTCACTGTCTAGTACTTTCCAGCGGTCCTCTAATTGATGTCATTCGGTGATTGGAATTGCAGAAAATCAAATCTTGACTAAACATTCACATATGCAGTTGACAGTGAGCTAGACCAATGTTGTGAGAGTTTATCATACTGACTGTCTACAAACAGCTAAATCGATGGTGTGGGATTGAGACTGGTGACCAAGAAGTTGGTATTAGAGCGCCTAGACTAAATGAGTTACAGCTCAACATATCTATAGATTCTGTTTTACATCTAAATGGAATTCGAAATTTCCTTTTTTTTAAAGTTTCATTTTGCTCATTTTTTTAATGTCATAATTGTTCAATTTTCATTTTCAATTATTAATTATATTGCCGCCATTTTGTTCTTTTTTATATAGAATATCTTTAGTGACCTTGAAATGTTCGCTATTTACTTTGCTTGCACAATACACGATATCGATCATCCTGGTCTAACAAATCAATACTTGATTAATACAAGTGAGTTTACTTTTATTTTGAATTTAGTAGCAATAAAATAAATGAATTTATAAAATTAAAGAAACTGCTCAAATTAGTATAGGTTGTCATCTGCTGTGACTACGACATATTTTCAAAGAAGACTCTATCGCGAGGCAACATAAGTTAGAGAACTACTGAAAAACCGAATTCCGCTAGACACCTGCTTCGGCCCAAATCGGGACTCTTCAGTAGTATATATCTATTGACAGAAGTAAGAATCTATGTGCTATTCGATTCCTTCACCCTAATAGATGGACAGTAGTATCATGAAGCTCATTGATTCAGTTTCTGGTGGAGTGAAGAGTGTATAACACCGAGGAGTTAAGAACTAGGACGAAACAGCCATCCATATGTCCTCGGTTTTCAATGCTTATTTCACCTGGAGAGAATAATGAATTCAGCGAAGATATACATATTCTTTTTCAATTTCTTCCTGAACAGTGAGTGCCGTTCAGACTGGAACGTGAGGCTACATGGTTTGAAGTTTTCAGTAGCAGTGGAGGTGCAGTTACGCGGTGGGGTTGCGATCCTCACGCACAACCTCCAGTCTTTCCTGGAGCTGCCGACTACGGACTACTAGGTGTGTTCTAAGAGTGAGATTCTCGGGCCTCATGCGTGGCTGGTGGGAATTCTACCCCTGAAACGCCAGCGCACACGCACACACTAGTGATAGCTTTCTTAAAATTATACATCAAAATTATAAGGGGGCGAGTGAAAATAATTTTCTGAATCAAGGACACTTGATGTTTAAAAGTTCGCAAGAGGTTATTACTTAATCGACAGTTTGTAAGGTGACAATAATTAAGAAGAAAGAGGGTAAATGAATTAGATAACAATTAAGTGGGACAGCCAAATTACAACAAAGTCATACGAATTAGCCAAAAAAGTACGAATAACAGTGTCATATGTCATAATTCATTTGTGATGTTCCTGTTAATCGATTGGACGGAAAAGCTCGGCATCGATTGATTTTTCAGCTCCTAGTTCGGACGCATAGACGATGTATTGAGATAAACTTGAAGTGATTTAGTGACTCTCTGTGGATGGAATCCAGAATGGTTATTTCGTCCTATTCGGGACCCGTCAGTTGGACGTATTTGCATTTCCATTGATTGATGGGGATCCCAATGAGACTCGAACCCAGTAAGCCAAAACGTTCTCCACTAGACTGCCTGGGCAATGATAGATACCAGTTGTGCAACGGTCATCAGTTATTGTTTGTTGTAAGTACTTCACTGGGGACTGAGGATACATCCAGATGACGAGTCCCGAATGGGACGAAACGCGCGTCTCAGATTTCCCCACTAATAACCATCCACCAGATTATAAACAGTTTCAGTTGATAGTTACTAGGATATGGGAAAATAGTGACTTGTAAGATCCTATACATAATACTGGTTGATTACAACAAACTTTCTTTCAATAAGGAAACTTGGTTAGTCCAGAAGAATTTCTATCATCTTTGGTGTATGCGAAAGTCAAACTTGTAGAGTATGAAGAAAGCTGGGTAAAATGCGATAATCATTACTATTATTATTGTTTCCTTTAATTCCTAGAGGAACATAGGGCTTCAGCCGTGTGTCTGCATTGCGTTCGGTTCTCTGCTAGAGTCTTCACCTGGCTCCATGTCTGCCCACACGTTTTCATCTCCTCTTCACATCACCTCCTCCAAGTCACCCTTGCACTGACGACCAACTCGCCGCCGCTTCCCTTTCGGGTTCCACTCGAGCAATGGCTTGTCTGGTGATGTCACTTGGTGGTTTCCTCAGAGTATGGCCAGCCAATCCACCTCCATTTCTTCCTGCCTATTTGTTTCACAATCGGTTCCTGCTGAGTTGGTTCGCTCCCAGAGATCTCTGTTGCTGATCTTTTCTGGTCGGTCATCTGATCTTGAGTAGTATTGAGCGAAGACAACTGTTAATGAAGGTCTGTAGTTTGTTTGATGTGCTCTTTATGACGCGCAGTGCAAGTCTCCAATCCGTATAGTAGCACTGACTTCACTCACATTGGAGTTGAAAATCCGGATCTTATTTTTCACTCTGAGGAGTGCTGTTGACCTCCACACAGACTTGAGAGTAGTGAAAGCTTGTCTTACTTTTCCGATTCTTGTTTTGATATCCTCGTCAGTTCCATCAGCCTGTAGTTGAAACGATGCTTCCCAGGTAGGTAAAGGAGGTTGTTTCTCTCAGGTTCCTCCCATTTATGCTGATCGTTGTCTGTTGTTGTTGTTGCTGTTGGTGGTGTTGCCCAGGACACTTCACCACCTCTGTTTCTCTATGTTCACCTGAAGTCCTATATTTGATGCTTCTTCTGCCAACTTGTTGCTTTTCGCTTGCATATCTTCCAGTTTGTGGGAAATCAGACATATATCATCGATATTTGCGATAATAAATAACATTAAAAGGTATTTTTGGTATTGACCTGATGTCTTATGTCGACAAGATTACCTATTATGCAGCAAGGTATCATCTTATTCAGTCCTTCGCTTTAATAAGACGGGTAGTTTTCAGAAATCCAACAATATACTTGCCTAATCCCACACCCAATGTAAATGATGTTGACTGGTGAAGAAAAATAGCTTTGGAATTGGTCAAAATTTTGAGAAAAACTCAAGAAATCTGAAAATACTCATCATTTTCCGTTTCTTTTCAGTTTTGTTTTGTATTTTCTTCTCTTCCGGTATCTCTATAGATCATGAATTAGCCCTGTTGTACAATGATATCTCAGTTCTAGAAAATCATCATCTACACGTTGCTTTTAAAATGATCAGTACAGAGAAAGAATGCGATTTTACACAGTATCTTACAAATCAACAGAAACAGTTGTTTCGTAAAATGGTTATCAATTTAGTAAGTGAAGCGTCTCTTCCTTTTCTAAAATGTTTTAGTGGTAGGGGTTTCATTTTTAACTGAAAGCAGGAGAGAAACACAACAGTTTTACTTGTAGATAAAAATTGGTCACTTGGGTGTAAACGATGTTATATGTCTAGTCCTTGGTGCCGTCGCGCAAACAGGTCTTCTAAACCCAACAATAACCCTAATCTTTCTTGAACCTAACCCTAATGTAAAAATATCCCTAAACTAACTGTAATCTAACGTAAACCAACCCTAATGTCGCCTTTATTAGATTAACCTGCAAAGTTCAACAATAGCGTCCCAGAAGTGTGAACACACGAGTGACCTTCGGCCGACCAATCACAAAAATGAGGAATTTTTGTACAAAAATGATAAATGTTGACAAGAAAATGCTCGAAAGCACATCAAACAGGTTATCTTTCTCCAACATGACTTGAAAATACGTCCTAGTTATAATGAGGAGTATCAGTTGCTAAGTTGGACTAGTTTCCGTGCATGTATTCACCAAGGTGACTAAAGATGAACTGTTTTTCTGAATTGTTTATCTCTCTTATCCAGTTGCGTTGTCTTCCTCAAAAGCCCTCAGTTAAATTACTATGGTTTCCAGTTAGAGAACTGGTGACTAAAGTCGCATTGCGCCCGAAATCATTGCTAGCTGGGTACTTACCAGGGAAATGTGGATAATAAAACAAATTAACATAAATGACATCAACCGTAAATCTATCCCTAGCTTTGGCCCTAACCGTAATCCTGACCCTAACCCTAATTACAACCCTTATCCTTACCCTAATACTAATTATGATCTTGATCCTAACCCTAGCCCTAATACTTACCTTTAACCTAATCCTAACCCTAACGAGCTATTAACACAGTGTCCAGACAGTACATAAAAACGTGATCTGAGTGGCATTTGCTGCTTATTTGGTGAATGGCATTTATATTTCAGATACGATAATGACAGGTGGCATCAGCCTACGAGTAGCATGCGTTCAAGGTCATTGGGGCGTTCGCACACCTGGAACGCTATTGTTGAAGTTCGCCGGTTAACCTAACCATAGCTTGTCCTTGGCTTAAACCGTCACTTAATCTTTCTCAAACCTAAGTTGAAACTTGCCAGATATCCTGTTTGATAACATAACACTTCGATGAGCATATTTTATCGATGATGACAAAATTACTTTCCAGGTCCCACAAATTTGTCCAGTGAGCGTTTCAAGGTCACTGGTGCGGTCGCACTCCATTGGTAGTTAGTTTTGCTTAAAGGTTAACTTGGCCATCACTGCACTGAACAGAATAAACCCGTCGAAAGTTTGTTATGTTTGCGCCTGCTAATTATTTTATAGTGGTAATGAAGTCGGCTGGTACACGAATATGCCTATTTGTCCGTTGTACCATCTGATTCACTGAGCGGCGCAAATATCCAAAGACAAGGGATGCCCTATCACTATAAGATATTGTATTATTGTGCATTTATCAGGAAACAACACACCACATTTATACATTTTCTCTACCACAATAAACTCGGCTCACGACCTTGGGAGTGAACCGTTCTTATTGGTTGGAAATTTCTATCCTGATTGGTTGGCGACGTGATAAAGACCAAGGTGAGAAAAAAGACGATGAATTGATCACGCACTAAACCAAGCTATGCGTGAGAAATGATACATTAACATAGTAACTCCATCCCATGATAAATCACATGATTCGTGAGAAAGGATGTGATACACTATTTTATGTTGGGTCCTATCACAGTGGACTGGATATTACACTGGCTTCATGCTTTGATTAATAATGCGGTTAATGGTTGAAATGATGAACGGCTGAACAGAAACTCAATAATTGTATGCTGACACAGTAAAGAATCGATAATACAGTCAAATGACCTTCAACCATCCAATCATGTGCGCCTCGGTGAAAAGTAGCATTTATAGTGTATTAAAAATATATATTTACTAGATACATACATACAACAGAAATGAATTCTATGGGGTATATGCCTCTAATATGTTGCAGAAAGAAGCCATAGTTTTCCAATAGGAGTGGTTATAATGAACAAACCAGAATTTGTATGGGTATCAGCTTAGGATCCAATAGACAAAGTTCAACAATAGCGTCGTCCCAAGCTATGCAAACACGTGACTGACCTTCAGCCGACCAATCAGAAAACTAAGTGACTTCTACACAAAACACGACGTATATTTGTTTACAGGACAATGCATGAAAACACACACTAAACAGGGTATCTTTCTCTGATATGAATTAAAAATACGTCCCAGTTATAATGAGGAGTATCAGTTACCAAGTTAGACTAGTTTCTGTACATGTATTCAACAAGGTGACTGAGCTGTTTTTGTGAATTGCTTATCTCTCTTAGCCATCCTGTTGTGCAGTCCTCCCCCAAGCCCTCGGTTGAATTACTATGGTTTCCAGTAAGAGGATCGACGCCCACTTACCAGGAAAATGTTGATAATAAAACAAATTAAAATAAATGACATCAAATATAAATCTGTCCCTAATCGTAACCTTAACCTTAATTGTGACCCTTACACTAACACTAACCCTTATCCAAACCGTAATTCTAACCCTAATGCTAATTATAACCCTGATCCTAACCCTAACCCCAATATTTACTTTAACCTTAATCCCAACCCTAACGAACAATTAACAGATTGTCCAAACAGTACTTAAAAACGTGATCTGGGTGAAATTTGCTGCTTACTTGGTGACCAGCATTGATATTTCAGCTATGATAATGACAGGTGCCGTTAGCCAACGACTAGCATGCTTTCAAGGTCATTGGAGCGTTCGCACTTCTGGGACACTGCTGTTGAACTTCGCCTCACTAATTCTGATGAATTCTGACTGACTCTATGGTGAATATAATCTGATGAAGACAGTCACACTGCTCAGCATTTCAAATGGAAGCTGTCCATAATGTTTGTTCCAAGCTTCACCCTAAATATAACGCTTAATCAGGGTAAAAATTGCAGCAAAGTTTAGGAAAAGCATTCATTTATTGTGTCTAGTGATCTGATTGGTCGGTTCAAGGTCATTTGTCTGTGGCATCTATTCTTTCCTGTTGTCGAAAATAATAATGATATTGATTCGGGCACTCATCAGATATCGGGCCTTACACTTTATAGAGTTGGAACCCAACATAATAGACAGTCAGTAATGAATGTCCTTCTCAGCTTATAAAACTATAAAATCCTAATGCTTCACCGTGTTGTGATGGTCAAGTATGAACAACTTTGACGTTTTTTTGAGCCTTACTGTTTGAAATATATGATGCTTCAAATTACTGCCATGTCAAATATTAAGTTGTTTGAGAAAGTTAAAGTTATGATCACTGCTTTCAGTAGGATGTAACACTCATCAAGTAAGAGACATCGCCTTATCTGTATAGAAACATGGAGTAAGAAAAGTTTGTTCCTAAAAAGATGTACATTATATCTTTCCCTTATGAACAAGACCTTTGGGAAAAGCCAACAAACTGACTAAAGAGGGAGGCAGCGATGACAAGATTCCAGGTGAAGACAGAGAAGATGGGAGAAATTTGAAAAAGGTTGCTTCCTGGCTTCAATTATCTAGGAAGCACGGTTTCAACCATAGGCAGTCTGAAGGGATAAAGATGTCAAAACCAGTCAGAATCGGAAAGGCAAGGTACACCTTCATCAATCTGAAGTCAGTTTGGAAATCTCCTGTACTCATCAGAAAGAACAATATTCTGATTTGCAACACAAATATGAAGTCAGTCAGGTCTTCTATACAGGTCTAAAACTTGACTGGTGTTTCACGAAAAGGATACCCAGCAAGTTACAGAATTTTTTCAACAGCTGCCCGATTCGCTGGCTTCATATTAAAGATCAGATAGCCGGCTGACCAGGAAGAATTAGCAACAAGAAGCTGTGGCTGGGAACAAACCAACCTTCTTTATTTTATTTTATTTGAACACAAAAAAACTTGGTACAATATGGCACCAAGAAGATGCGTCACACAATACTAATAAAACAACATAGATTAGAAGTAAAAATATAAGTAGAAAACGGATAAAGAACTTCATCAGGAAGGAAAACAGTCATGTTTAACAAGTTCAAACAGTATTCGTTAACTATCATCAGGAAGGGAAGAAAGAAGGAAATTGCAACACGTTCGCCATTGATTACGATTCTTGGCCATATCCGATAACGTTTCGAGTCATCGATTCGAGCTATCTCGCGGACCCCAACCAGGGAGTCGTGACGCAAAAACCGATACTAACCTAACACAAATATTCTTCATCCCACGATACCACGTTATGGACTGCCCACCCCTCCGCCTTTTCCATCCTGTCCCAGGGCTAGCGAATAGAGACCTATACGGAAGCCTCTGGGATGACATTCACAGCACATGTCAAAACCACAGAAGCCGGTGTTTCCAGATGACAACACTCAATGAATGGTGATCTCCACTGTGTTGAGACACACTCCGCCGAACCTCAGAATTACTCACGCGATGATGCCATCGAGCGCAAGCAATCCTGTGGAGATGGAGATGATCGAATACGCAGAGCCGCTGCACATCCTCAGCTCGGAGAGGCCAGGTTTCACAGGCCTGGCGTAGAGCAAGACAGCCCTCACCGAAGCATTGTATACCCGACCTTTGACAGCCAGACTAAAGTCACGACACTGCCAGAGCCAGAGGTGGCTCAATTTGATGTATACCACCCTAGTCTTTATGATACGGTTGTAAATCTCATTCGTCGACCCTCCGCCAGCACTCACACAACTACCCAGATAAACAAACTTATCAACAACTTCAAGCGGTTCACCTGCAAGAGTGAGTGCATGTACAGGCTCCTGTCAATCTTTTAATAGGGACGAATCGGCCATACGTTGAGAAGGCCTTCGAATGACATCACACACCAAGCTCTCGAGTGGAATTCAAATGCGAAGCGATGAGTGGGTCATCAGTGCGAGGGTGATATGAAGGAAATCGTGCGACGAGCATATGACAGCCTTTGGACAATCGTGGACCCAGCTGAAGAGGACAGCATAAAATGGAAGGAAGTTGAAATGTGTTGTTGAAGCTCTGTGTTTCACCAGGAAACCAAAGGAACAATTATATTCATCATGAAGAACTCATTTTTGTGATATGGACTATAAATGGACATTTCAATATAAGGTTAAATTTAGTTCTAAAGTCACTAAGAAAGCACTGGTTGGCCGAAGGTTACTAGTTAATTCTTAGGATCTACAGTTACTCTCCTAAGTCAATATGTCCACCTACACTAATTCACAACCTTCAACTACCAGTAGGGTGTCACTCCCTGTTACATTTCTGTTCCCATTCAACTCAAACAAATCAATAATATGAATTATAATAAAAGACACTTCTACGCATTTATAAATCTGCCTATTTTGTTTATTTCGCTTTGTTTTCTCAAGGTTCTTTCCACAGATATGAGTAAACATATGTCTTTGTTGGCTGATTTAAAGACTACTGTTGAAAAACAAAGAGCACTTCAAGGAAATGTAATTAGCCTGGACAGTTATTCAGCCCGTATGCAGGTGAGTTAATCCTGTTTTGCCTCTTCACCTATCGATTTATATATATATATATATATAATAGTAATGAATTGCTCAGATATTGTTTGTGATGCTCGAAGCATAATATTTCGTTTATTAAATCATTGCATTACAAAAACAACTCATAATTTTGAGAGAAAAAAACAACAAATTGAGAGAAGAAATATGCCCTCCCTTTCAATTAGTTGTTTATCATCGGCTCTATTTTACCAATCAAGTGGTTATTTCAATCCATCAGTTTCAGGTATAGGGACATAGGGCTTCAGCCGTGCGTCTCCATTGCGTTCGGTTCTCTGATAGAGTCTTCACCTGGCTCCAAGTCTGCCCACACGCTTTCATCTCATCTTCACATGACATCCTCCAAGTCACCCCACCTTCGCACTGACGACCAACTCGCCACTTCCCTTTCGGGTTCCACTCGAGTAATGGCTTGTCTAGTGATGTCACTTGATGGTTTCCTCAGAGTATGGCCAGCCAATCCATCTCCATTTCTTCCTGCTTATTTGTTTCACAATCGGTTCCTGGTTGGTTCGCTCATTGCCAAAGATCTCTGTCACTGATCTTTTCTGGCCGGCCATCTGATCTTGAGTAGTATTGAGCGAAGACAGTTAGCTGTTGATGAAGGTCTGTAGTTTGTTTGAGGTGCTCTTCATAACGCGCAGTGCAAGTTTCTGGTCCGTATAGTAAGTGGCACTGACTGACTTCACGTCGGAGTTGAAAATCCGGATCTTACTTTTCATGCTGCGTGCTGAATGTTGATCTCCACACAGACTTGAGAGTAGTGAAAGCTTCACCTCACCAAGGTTATTAGTTGATCGTAAGCCCCAGCAAAAAGATGGGGCGTTGAGTGTGAGGAGCTAGCAACTTTATACGCAAAACAACAGCATGTCTAGAAACTGACTTAATATTGGTGTTGAATATTCGAATCTCGTTCTTTATGCTGGCTGATTGCAGAAGATTTGTAAACTGATTTCAGACTGACGAATATCTGTTTTCCCTTTCCGATTCTCGTTTTGACATCCTCATCTGTGCCGCCTGTAGGTGAAACAATGCTTCCTAGATAAGTGAAGGAAGTGACCTCCTCCAAATTTCTCTCGTTGATAGTGATAAGTGGTTGTTGGTATTGGTTGGTTATCTTCATCACCTCTGTCTTCTCTATGTTCACTTGAAGCCCTGATTTCGCTGCCTGCCACTTTTTCCAGCTTGTTGATTTTCTCCTGTAGACCTTTGGTTTCTGAACACCTTGAGTAGCAATCTTCGAGTGTTTGACATGCGGTTTGCTCCTGCTGTCAAATGTAAGATGGTGCTACAGGACTAGACTACATTGACTCCTAGCTTAAAGATAGGAAGTGGAGTGGTAGAGCGTGTTAACCACTTCACTCATTTGGGCAGTTGCATCAGCCGATGCCAGCAGGTTGATTGCTGACGAAATCTCAGCACGGATACAGTTGGCATTTGCCAACTCATGCCATCTCTTGCGTAAACGTAAAATCCGACCGGCTGTCGACCAAAGGACCTGTGTGCTGCTCATCAGTTTGCGCCCTCCTTCTTTATAGCTGTGAGTGAGATATGACCACCAGTGAAATTGGAAGATATGAAAAGGTTGCCTAGCTGTCTTTAATTATAGGTACCCGCGTTCTGTCCCCCGTTTTAGGTGGTATTATGGAGTGGGTAACATTGAGGTAAGGCTTCGGTCAATTGCTAGGTGAGTAGGGGAAATCAACAGACGATGCTGTGAAATTACGTCGATTGAGATGGTTAGAACATGTGTTAAGCATGTATGCCTAGCCATCGATCGCCTCCCTCAACGGTCAATGTTAGCTGCCAAAATAGGATCAGGATGGCAAAGAGCTAGTGGCGCACAAACCAAAACATGTCTTCAACAGTCAATGAAATCCACAACAGTTAGTTTAAGCCACGCAGCCAGCCACGTGGGAAGGTGTAGACTTTCTGACTGGTTGGGGACTTCGGGACGTTAAACACCACTGAAGGCTGGAGACAATCGGTGATATGGCTCAAACTCATCGTCCTCGATAGCTGGTGCAGATGCATCCACTCCTTGTGACTTATAATACGCAATAAAACTATCTTGTTCTTCGATATTATTATTCTTTTTGCCTCATCTCTGTCTACTCCCTTCTCTTGATTTGTGTGCTACGTGGAGGGCGAGTGACAACGTGAACTGCTGCACATCTGTGCAAAGTTCTACGTCGAATCCAATCAGTCAGTCGGTCAATCAGTAGACCTTTGAGTTCGTTTGACATGAGACATTAATCACCTGTAAAGTTCATATCTTCTATAGTTTTCGTGTCGATCCAGCGTATTCCTATCTTGTCTCTCCCTACAGTCTCTTACATAATCCAACCGACCGTAATCAGGAATACTACCGGTAATAATAGACAGTCTCGGGTGACATAACATTATTTGAAAATAATCGATATTTTTCCTTCGTTTTTCTTTTACTGATAACCTCCACTTTCTTCTTCTTGTTCTTCTTCTTTAGATATTAGAATGCGTTATACATGCAGCTGATTTAAGCAATCCTACAAAACCTTTAGAAATTTATCAACAATGGGTATCAAGAATTATGGAGGAAATGTTTCGCCAGGGGGATCAAGAAAGAAAATTCGGTATTGAAATTAGCCCAATGTGTGATAGAGAAACTGCATGTATTTATAGTACCCAAGTAAGTTATGCAATAATAGTAACATGCAATGATCTTGTAATGATAATAATAACAATAATAACGACTTTCACCCACATAGTTGCCTTGATGAATTAAAGATACGTTGGAGGATTTCATCATGAGCTGACATCGGTTAGAGAACCATTGGGCAACCAGTCAGGGAGTAATGGACAGCTGTTTCGTCAGCGTAGTTTGGGACTCCACTTCAGCAGTACGCACCCACAGCACGGGGTTTGATCCCAGGACCTTCTGGTTACAAGGCGAGCTAGCTCGTAGACCATTAAGCCACTGGTACCCTATCCAATGACCAGACAATGAATTCCAATTTCTGCCATTTCAAGATACAGCGCAACCGTTAGCCAATGTCTTTGCCGAGTGTCTGTCCTCACACCTGACCTACTTCACACTGGTAATCAGGACGTCCCACTAGAACCCCAGGTAACTACCAACCTGAATCGAGCCAGTCTCTAGTGAGCATCTCATGGTAGTTGTAGTAATTGGTTGAGAGTTACTTAGAATACCTACGTTCCCGTTTTTACAACTTCCTCTATTCCTTTATGCTAGAGTTGTAAACTATTGATTTAAGCAGATCATTTTCTGTCAATAGTGGTTGACGGGTTCGAAACTGTGAGGTACTACTTGCCGTTGTACAATAAATCTAGCTCATTGTATAGTGTAGAAACCTGCACGTGAATGTTCACTTGGTTTTACGCCTTATGATACACGATAACTTTACCTGAATCCTTTGTTTTTACTAACAAATGATTTCAACAGATCTTTCTCGTAGCCATCACTACTATCTCAATATTTCAACTGATAGTTTATGTTCAGTGCACAATTTTTGTCGAAAAACATGACTGAATCGCCAATTTAAAAAAGAAACCTTATTGCTTAGCTAGTACGTTTTAAGCTACAATAAAAAACTCACAGTGCAAAACCACACCTTACAGTTTTATAAAAGAAAATCAACAGGTTTCTGTTCAATGAGCCTTTTATGCTGACACTAAGCCATCGATTTTTTTCTCAAGTTTTTGAATGACTAGAAGTTAGAATTTACAAGTGTTGGTTTACAAGGATTTACTTGATTTTGACGATTGATCACTGGCTTACTTCAGTTGCAGAACCACTGAGAATTAGGAAGTACTGAACAGATGTTTCGTCCTTATTTGGGACTCCTCACCAGTAAGTGATGCTTATTATGAATTAGCAGAAGTCAGGGCAAAGTTCAACAATAGCGTCCAAGGAGTGCGAACGCTCCAATTACCCTAAATGCATGCTAGTCGTTGACTAACAGCGCATATCATTATCATAGCTGAAATATCAACGCTGTTCACCAAGTAAGCTGCGAATTCCACCCAGATCACGTTTTTAAGTACTGTTTGGGGAATGTGTTAATAGCTTGTTAGGGTTAGGATTCAGCTTAAGGTGAGTACTAGAGTTAGGGTTAGGATCAGAGTTATAATTAGCATTAGGGTTCGAATTACGGTTTGACTGAGGGTTATTATTAGCGTTAGGATTAAGGTTGGGGTTACGAATAAGTAAAGATTTAGAGTTGATATCATTTCTTTTTATTTGTTTTATTATCCACATTTTCCTGGTAAGTAGTCGTCCATCCTCTTACTGGAAGCATAGTAATTCAACTGAGGGCTTTGGAGAGAACTGCACAACAAGATGGATAAGAGAGATAAACGATAAACGATAAACAGCTCATATCTTTAGCCACCTCGGTGAATACATGTACAGAAACTAGTCTAACTCAGAAAACTGATACTCCTCACTGTCATAATTGGGACTTATTTCCAAGTCATTTCCGAGAAAGATAACTTGTTTAATGTGCGTTTACATGCATAGGTCATTTTTGTGTAGAAGTCACTTAGTTTTCTGATTGGTCGGCCGAAGGTCACTCGTGCGTTCGCATCCCTTGGGATGACGCCACTTTTGGACTTTGCCGAAGTTAGAATTGAAGGAATCGCCATTAGACTCCGTTTGAGTGGCCCAAAAGTCAACGATCTTAACTTGTAACCTGAAGGTTATGGGTTCTACCCTTGATGGGTAAGGTTATCAGTAAGTACCGCTGAAAAGTCCCGAACAAGAACAGCACCAATACTCGCTGGTTTCCAATACTTCTCCACTAACTTAAATCAATTCATGGGCAGTCTTGAGAAGTTAGAATGTTTGAGCTGTAGGATGACAACTCAATGTCTTCATCCTGCCGAAAGTTCTAGCTTCAGTTCCCATCGGGATCATTGGTGCTCACTTCCTAAGAGTCACTAATTAGGACAGAATTACTGTCCATCGCTCATCAGTTTTCAAATAATCCTCTTCAAGCAATGCCAGTTAGTGTTGTTGAAATATACACACTTATACAGTTATTGTCACTACATTAGTAGAAAGGCATTTGAATACATGCGAAAAATGGTCTAAGACCATACTCTCCGACCCACAACACCCCCTCTATTCCTAACTCTCGCCTTGTATCTCATCAGGTAGAACCAGAAATAAGTATAAAATAATCTATGCTCGTACAACCAAGTACAGGAACTCAACGATACCATATTTGGCCCGTGTTCTAAGTGACAGAGACAATGTTAAGCGCGAAACCTATGACTTGCTTTGTTGTTAATAACATAATTTTGGCTCTTTTATTTCTCTCTTATTTTGTATTCTATAGTGAACTCCTTCTTAAACATACTTAGCTACCTAAATTATTAACATTGGCTTACTTTTTTGTACTTTATTCTGTTCCTTCTTTTGTGTATCTACTGGTTCCGAATATATTAGCACTATGAGTACTAAAAAATTGTCCTGTCATTAACCATCATGTAATATTAGTTTTGTAGTTGTTTTTGTTCGGCAATATTAACTGACAATCTTGGTTGTGAAAGCCATTATTAACACCACCTTAAAATTTTGTATTATGCAGGATTACTCACACTACCACTACAAACACTGCATTAGACCTGACAATAGAAAACGAAACAACAACCCTGAAATGTTATTTTATGATTGTTTAGTGTTGTTTCAACCAAATTAACTGATCATGTTGGCGATAAACATTCTTAAATATCATTTCATAACTTCTTGTATAAGTATAGCTTTACTGTCAACATGCATAATCATATCATAGCTTCCACTACCCTATACTGAGATATTATTTATTATGTTGTTTATTTTCCTTTCTACTTCTTGGTATTTTTTTGCATTTTTTAAAATTATTTTTGTTTTTTCTTTTGTTTTTGTTGTTTTTGTATTTATTTTTTGAAATACTCCTTTTAAATGTTTGGTAAAATTAGATGCAAATATTGTAGATATGTGCTGAAAATTCCACACTGTACCACTAGTACTGTTTCTGGAATAAAGCAAATTATTACTATTGAAACTTATCCTATATGTTCTGTTTAACATTTTTTTCTTTCAGATTGGTTTCATTGATTATATAGTTTATCCATTATGGGAGACAATGGCTGAACTTTTATATCCAGGTGCACAAATCCTAATGGAGAATATAACCAAAAATCGAAATTGGTATGCTAATGCAAAAGAGATTCAACTACAACAAGAACAAGAAAACCAACAACAACAACAACAACAGCAAGCATTGCAACAAGACTGTAAAACGAAATGATTTCAAAGAGCACGCGGGGAGGCGGGCGAGGCAAGGATGATGAATCAAATAAAGAAACCCTACCAGCTTTTATTTTCAAATTCCTCAATTTGTTTCTCTACTTCTCCGTGATTAAATAACACAGTTTCCTCTGCATACCTACCGCCTACTGATTGATACTGCTATTACTATGACTTCAGTCTAAACCTTGGGTATCTTATCCCAAATGAGAGTAACAGTTGATTACTCTCTGAAATGTCACAGTAAATATTTCATTGTCACCATGTTTCTGGAATGTTTCCTTTCAATTTGTAAAAGCACAAGAGGGAAGAAAGAGAGAACAGAAACAACTGTGCCAAAATAAACAATTCTCTCTTCCGTGCATGCTTACGTGCTCCTTCAGCTCGCTCTCTGACACGCTCGCTCCCTTGTTATCGCTTCTTAATATCCTAAAATATCTTCAAGAATGTAATAATGATAATAATGCAGTCATGTATAATTATGTACATCTTTATGTATGCATTAACAGACTATTTTGTGTTCACGATATGTTTTATTGTTATATATATGTATTCCCTTTGGTTCCGAGTGGAACCCAAGGGCTTTAACAGAATATTTCCATTGTACTGAGTTCTCTGCACTTCTCTCTTCTCTAGCCGTCTCCACGATTTTCTACAAGCTGTCATTTCCTCCTTCCATACACTGTAACGACAGAAGATAAGGGCCAGGCTAAAGATCGTTTGAGTAGCTTGAAAATCCGCATTGAGACATATGAAAAAGAGAAGACGCTCAGCGAAGAGACCCTTTTCGGCGAATTCATTCACACAGTTGTACAATCGCATTTATATATAATTATTTGTGTGTGTGTCTGCATGAGGTTTGTCAAGTTTAGATAGTTAATCATGTAATATAAGAATGATCTAATATAGAAACAAAGTTAATCAGACAGCAACTAAAGTAAGATTGAGTTAGTAAGTTAGATGACGTAATATAACTGACTAAAATGTTTCAACTTAAGACAGGGTGGCAACAGAGGTAATTACAGGTAGAGACTAAGTAGAAGTGAAATTGAGCAAATAAGTCGGATGACGTTACATAAATGACTAGAAAATGAGCGTTGTTCAAGTCAGTAACAGTTGTAGTGAGGTGTAGAAATTAAATCGGGTGGGGGTAGAGAACAAGAAAGTTGAAAATGTAAAATATTACAATTGAGAAGACAAAATAACACTAATGAAGAGACAGAAAAAAAAGATTAGGTAGAATTTACTTGTCGGCTAATAAGATAGATTACGTCCATTACAAGTGTAGTGAATGAACGGACTTCTTCTGTATTCAGAGTTCAGGACACAGCAAGTGAATCACCATTGCTTCTGCAATTTGAAGAAGTCTGATTCGCACACCTTTAGGAAGATTACTTCTTACTCTGTAGACGACCTTGAAGTTTGTTTGCGGTGTAGCTTGGTGTCCGGATTCTATCAGATGTTCTAAGATGGAACTGCGGGGGCTTCGATTTTCGACTTTGTAAAACCATGTTGGTAAGTGTTCGGTGATACGTTTAGAAAGCGAACGCTGGGCACTACTGACATACCTGGCTCCACACGAGCAGGTGAATTAATAAATACACATTGATGAGGCCACCAGCGGTAGCTTATCCTTCACGTTCACATGAATCATAGGTTTTGTGGAGAAGGTTAGTCGTAGTTCAGCTGCGAAGAAGATCTTCTTAAGTGAGCGCGACAGTCGATTTTTTAGTGTTTCCGCAGATAAATCTCCATTGAATTGAAGGTTCATGTAGAGTAGTTTTTTCGGGACGCTAAGCATGGGCGGCTTTTGTGGTCTAGGATTCATAGATTTTGCAATAAATCTTTCTGGATAACAATTCTCGACGAGGATTCTCTTGAGATTGTCCAGTTCATCTTCTATGGTGTCCGGGGTGCAAATTCTGCGAACTCTGTAGCTGAGTGAACGGATCAGGTTTCGTTTGGTGTATAGGGTTACCCAACTGTGAAAGTTAGTAAGCTGTCCGTTCCACGTCGACTTTCTGTGGATAGACCTTTTCAGTGTTCCATCCTGTTCTCGTCTTGTTAGTTGGACGTCAAGAAAGGATATTTTGGAGTTGGACTCTTTCTCCAGCGTGAACTGAATCGCGGGGTGGCAGTTGTTAAACGACTTCAAGATGTCGTCTAGATTTTCTTCGTTGTTGACGATAATGAAAGTGTCGTCGACGTATCTCTTATAGATTTCGAAGGTATCGATCATTTTCTTCAGGCATGTGTTTTCGAGTTTTGCCATGAAGAAATCTGCAAGCAATGGGCCTAGTGGTGAGCCCATAGCTATACCATCCTTTTGGCGATATATTTCGTTGTTGAAAGAGAATTGAACATTCAGGGTACACCTCAGAAGGAGTTCTTTAAGATGCTCGGTGGCTATACCGATGTTTATTCCTTTGGAGTGAATAAGTTCACATATATAGCATATTGTTTCAGTCAGTGGAACGTTTGTGAATAGTCATGTGACATCTAATGAAATCATTGTCTCGTTGGATACGTTGATGTTTTCGATTGAGTCGATAAAGTCGAATGAATCTCGAACTGTGTGACAGGAAACTTGTCTTCTGATTAGTTCTAGTAGGTCTGCTAACCATTGGGCTGTGCGGTGATAAGGTGAATTGGTCATGTCGAGGATCGATCGAAGAGGGATACCCTTCTTTTGTACTTTCGGGAGTCCGTAAAGTCGTGGTATGTTTGAGACAGACGGTTTAAGGGATTCGAACGTTTCGTTGCTGATGAAAGACTCAGTCTTTAGCTTACGGAGGGTGTCTGTTAGCTTTTGTTCGGTCTGTTCAGTCATGTTTTTCTCGTTGATCGGTTTTGTGAATTTGCATTCATCGGATAGTATAGTCAGCATTTTACTGATATAGTCCTTGCGATTCATGATTACAATTCCTCCGCCTTTATCAGGACGTAATATCATAATCTCTTCGTTTTTCATAAGTTCTTTTAGCTCCTTATAGTGCCTCTTCGTCAAGATGGACCTTCCGTTGGGTTTGGTATTTATAAACTTGTGACAACAGTCAAGGATTGATGCTTTGAGTTGTTATAGGTTTTCATCTAATGTAGGTGTGAGATCGTAAGTTTGTTTTATTAGATTTTTGAACTGAACCTGGCATTGTAGCTTGTCAATACTTGGTGGTTTCACGCAGAATTTTGGACCTAGAGATAGTGCACCTAGTTGAGTAGTAGACAGTGTGATGTCTGAAAGATTGAATACGTACTTTCTGGATTACTTGGAAATGGAGATTCGGTATTAACTGTAGGCTTTAGGCTTTTGAGCAGATCTGCTTTAGTCTTGTTACATTCTTTCTGAGTGGCTTGTTTTTTTTTTTTTTAATAATAATAATTTGCTTTATTCCAAAACAGTACTTGTGATACAGAATGGAATTCTCAGCATTTTACTACAGTATTGCATCCAGTTAGTACATTGTCAATAAATAGAATTCTACATAGATTGAGGAAACCACAGTTCATTATTACAACAGTACATTGGCATGTTCAGTAGCAAAGGTAAAGCTGAAACAGTGTTTGAAGGTGTTAGAAAAGTGGGAGCTGTTTTATTAACTGGCGTAAGCGAGAGAAAGAGACAAAGCAGCACATGACGGAAAAAGAAGAGAGAGAAAAGGAACAGAAAGAAAGGAAATGTTGAACCTATTGATGAAGTGGGTTGGAAAGATGAGATCCAGTTGTACTAATGACTATTTAATGAATTATAGGTGTCACGCCTAATGCTTTCTTTATCACACAGAACGCGAGCTAAGTAGGGTATGGTAGAGTTTTTGTACTTGCTGGTGCGAGCATATAGTTTTCTATATTGGCTTCTGGTTTTACCTGATGAGATGCAAGGGGAGAGTTGTGAGTGAAGAGGGTGGTGTGAGTTAGATAAAATGGACTTGGCCCATTTTTCACATGAGTCCATGTGCCTGTCAACCAAAATATTAACAAGCTGGTTAAGTGGCACGTTGATTACTCTGCTGACAACATTTAACATCCTGCGTAATATGTTATAGTCTTTCTTCAGTAGCCCAGGAAAAACTAAGGGGGAACAATAGAGAATAATAGGCAGGATGCGAGAATTAACGAATTGTAGGAGTAGGGGTTGGGTAATACCAGAATGTTTTAACTTCTTAATGTAGAAGGCAAGACGGAATATTTTCTTAGAAATTGCTAAGATATGAGACGACCAGGAGAGATCAGCAGATAGAATGACACCTAGGTATTTAATTTCCGATTTAGTTTCTATTTCATACATATTCTTCGAAGGAATGGCGCAGTTCTTGATTTAAGTCAATTATATTATGTCATCTAACTTACTAACTAACTCAATCTTACTTTAGTTGCTGTCTAATTCACCTTGTTTCTATATTAGATCATTCTTGTATTACCTGATTAATTATCTAAACTTGACAAACCTAATGTACACACACACACACACAAAAGATCGTTTATTCAGAAAATCAACAGATATTTATAGATTTTTATGTACATTATTAGTGGCGTTATTGTTAGCAGAGGGGCACAGTCTTCTGATTGGTTGTTTTCCTGCTGAAGGTTATTCTGTCATCTCTTTGTTACCGTTTCTTAGACAGTTTGGTCATATATGTGTTAATCACGTAAAGTCTACTGTCTGTTGAGTTCCTTAAGGTTGAGCTTTCTTCTTGTTTTTTCTCATGACCCCGATTTGGAACGTAAACGTTGACATAAATTGTTGTCTACAATTTTGGCTTGCAGACAGCTCTCACCACACCTTTAAAAATGGATTATTAAAAGGTTGAACCATACGTACAAATGAAGTTTCTCTCCACATTAGAGCTTAAAATGTACAAAAATATTCTGAACTCTTCAAGTGTTGGTTTGAAAGGGATTTGTTTGATTGGTTACCGGATTTCATCATGAGCTGACATCGGTTAGAGAGTCATTAGAAAACTGATCAGGGAGTACTGGACAGCTCTTTCGTCAGCCTAATAT